GTAGAATTCCATTTCTCCCAAATACATAGTTTATCTGTAGGTGTAAACATCCGAATAGTTCTCGGCATCCAATAAAGTTATTTTGTGCATAACCGATAGATAAGCTTAAACATAGGTTAGTGGATTTATTGGAGTGAATTAACAAAGAATTATGTTAATGTTAATTGATGCACCCGTGCCAGTTAAAGGTATTAGATTTGAAACTCTTTCTCTCTCCATGAATAACCAACCCGCTAAGGTCCCTTCCACCAAATGATCAATATTACTTATGATAAAATTTTTACAAGTAACCTTTTACCACTGTAATAGCAATCTCCCAAAGTCACATGTCGTCAGACTGGTTTTCAGTTTGTTTTTTCGCAATAATTTTTGATAAGTGACTAAGCGCTTTAGACATAGGAAGAATTATAAAAAATAACGCAATGTGGAGGGAGAATCTAGTTCTCTTCTTGGAAAGACAGAATCAATATACAACCTCGCAAAAAAGTGCACTAGTTCAAATTGAAACACTTCACAGTAGCACACAAAGAACGAGTGGATAGAAAAAGATTGATACTAAAGTAGGAAAAGATGTATATGGGAAGAGGAAATCTAAAAATTAAAGTTAATCAAAACATCCAAGCTTTAGAAGAATTCAAAGAATGAATAAATCCGCGCCACTGTGATTGATTTTCGACCATTTCACCAGGAATTCTCAACCACTGATTCGTATCGTCTCAGCTACCCCAGCCAAGTAGTCTACACCTCACTGCACGGCTAAAACCAACAGCCAAAGCCTTAATGAATTGGTGCCACGTTTTAGTTTGGCCACCATGAAGCCTCTTCCAACCTCATCCAACTTTGACCAGCATTACACATACACACACACACACATACAGAGGGAGGGAGAGAGAGAGGTGAATTAGCATACAGAGCACGCATCGAAACCACATCAATCGCTGAAGGTTCACAACCTCATAAACTAACTTGCATTCCTTCGCCAAACCTCAATATTGCTCCCGCTTCCGTCAAACGCGAGAAATACTACAAAGACACCATGGTTAGAAACTTGGAATTGCTTCATGTCTTCAAACTTTAACAGCAGAGGTAAAGCAGTGAACGACAAATTACAGAGCAATTTTACTGCCGTATATCAGGTAAGCGACAAACGCGCCCTCTGTATGCGAGCTGAGATTTCATCAGCAACTAGTCCATTTAAACTGCTGCGACTCCTCCCGTAAGTGAAGTTGCCGACGCATTCCATCACCTTACATTCCATCTCTAAAGCAAAAACACTTACAAACCAGTTATACAGCATCAACTTACATTTCACATGTGTGAGACGTACTCAGATTTCTGACCAAAGTCATCAGAAAGTGCTGCATTTGGCAGAGTGCGACTATATCGTCTACATATTCTACGCAAACTAGATGACCACGGGGTAGATCAGTCCATGTGAAGTCAGACCTATGACAAATCCACGTATGAAAACCAACAATTTCATCCAGTTTGCGGTTACTGAGGCGCAATGAAGCATAGAACAACTACGGACCCTCGGATATTAGACACATTGTTCGTCAAACGGACTCTTCTACGGCTATCATTAGGGGATTCCTCTCCTTTCTCGTAAACCGGAATAACCATTGAACCAAGCATCTGACAAGATTACCTCTGATTCCCACACAATACCTAGCAAATCCATTACTCCAATCAGTAACTTACTAACTCCATCCTTACAAACCTCGGATGGCAAACCGCCAACTCCTGCTACTGTGCATTGTTTCAGGATTGAAACAGCCTTTTCACCTTCAAGAAGAGTTGGAAGACCGACATCTAGGTGTTATTCAAGTTCGGGCTGGATACGGGTAACCGAAGTGTGGCTGTGGACCAGTTGAACTGTGCTTCGAAGTGTTCCGTCCAACGTTGTATCCCCTTGTTCTGAGGAGTTAACAACATCCCACTCTTTTTGGTGGTGGTGTCCCACTAACCATCGCTTTCTTATTGCCGGCGGTATCCTTATTAAGCCTAAGTAATTACTCGATACTACGTGTTGTTGACGCCTTCCCCATCGCCACACGTCACTCCTCATCATCGTTGTGAAGACTGTTGATCAGTTTGTATATACGAGTTGACTTCGCTTCTCTTTGTGTTTGGAGACAGTGCAGATGAAATTGTGGAAATCCACTGAACATTACTAACCTTTGGATGTAGGCTGACAACTGTCTTCACTGCTGTTTCGACAACAGACCTAATATCACACTACGCACCACCTTCCCTCATGATGAAGATTGCTGTCACGTTTAGATGACCACCTACCTGTCTCATCTTCCAGTCGGACACAGACAGGTTTCACTGCTGCCTGTTTCCCGCGACCAGTAAGGTGCACAAATGCGGAGGTGCTCGCATTAACGCATGATCGGAGTTCGAACTGGTACTCCAGAAAGGGTGTCAAACCTTCTCCGATTCTCTCCAACGATGGCTGGCTGGCTGGCTGGCTTACAGCAATGTGATTAACCTGTATCCATCGTTTGTTCGAAATTGGCGGAAGTCATGTGAGACAGTGTCTCTTCTTATGCTTAAAGTTGGTGCTGGCCAGAAACAAGTGATTGTCGGAACAAAATTGTAACGGACAATTACCGCTGTCGGTTCCTTGGTGTGGGATTCCGTAAGTACTCTCCAGATGCCTTTCCTATTGGATCAGCTCATCTTCTCTACTTGAGCCTTAAAGTCACCTGTTACTTTGACTACATCCAGACGTTTTACTTTCTGTAGCAAAGTTGACAGCTTTCCATAGAATTCATCCTTCGCATCATCTGAAGTGCAGTTGGTGAGCGATTAGCAGGCGGAGACTACGAAAAGGCATCAGTTGGACTCCCGATCCTTCCCAGTCCTTACAGGTATATTCAGTCAGACCGCACACAAACGGTTATTGACAAGTGTGCTTTCTGCTCGATAACTAAATGATATACCTACACACCGGGGAGTCGACGAGAGATAACCATTGCATCACAAGATACTCATGAAGTGAGTTTTGCAGATTTATTACTACGGCCAGATGAGACCAATTTAATAAGCACACACTATTCCTGTATACGTGTCTCAGCATACATCCATGACTCGAGATTCTAGAGTGTTGGTGAGCGATACTTCCTGTCCGATTTGGCATAGACTTAAGACGTTGAACGCTCCAATGTGAAATCGATGGAGGTGTCTTAAGAGAATGAGGTTTCAATAGCTTTGATAGTCGACAATGGTCGCAGAGTGAGAGGTTGGAGAAGGTGCAAGAGGCCTAATATTAGTATCTGAAGGTCAAGGCATAGGGCGAAATAGAGTTAGGGAGGATAGGTTATGTTTGACGTGATTGTTCTAACGCCGCATAGAGAAACCCCATACCACCAGCACCTGGAGACCGTGGGGTAGGGATGAGCTTGCTATGTTTGGAGCCAACCTTTTCTAACCCCTCATTTCTATAAGAAAGTCAGCATCAGGAGGGCACTTCTGGTCATCCAAGGGAAACAACTTACTTCTGCCACACCCTATCCAGCTAGTAGTAGTACGACTTCGCCTTCAAACTCTCATCATGGTGTAGCAATTAACACAATAACGTTAACTGCTTTTCATCTTACCACTGTCCAACAGACCTTTCTAGCATGTTAGGACCTCGTGAAAACAAGCGTCTCAGCTAGTGTAGCACGTTGGGTCATTGTGATAGAGAAGCCAGAACACCGCGTCAAGGTAACAGCTACCTGTTGTGAGCTTGAAATTAAGTTCAAAAGTGTCGTTGGACGACATAACGTTTACAACACTTTCTAACGGTGACTCAGATAAAGATTTCGTTTGGTGATAACATGAAAGAAGACTAGTTGATGAACAGCCACGCATGTTGTAAATGAAGTAGCAGTATGTAACTTTGGTTTGGCGATCTATGATTCTCATTTGGCATAGCCTGTACAACTTTTCTCCCGCACTCCAAGAGTGGGTAGTAAGCTTTAATTGGATTAAGTCAGAACTAGTAAAAAGGAGCTGGTAAAGCATGACAAATGGCAACGTCATTGATCATCAAATGTAGAATTGGAAATAGGCGTTGAACGGGGAAAAATCTTTAGATGGTTACTAACTGTCAGTTTGGTTGCAGGCCATCGCGAGGAAGCCTTGCTTGATCTAAGTTTCGTGCATCTTAGCGTTCATCGGAAAGGTGTACCTACAACCTGGAAGGAACTCATGTCCCCTCTGAGAGTGGAACCCACGTCACTCAGTGTTGTAGTCAGCAACGCTAACACTGAGTTTTTCGAACTGCGAATGATCTCCAGTAGGACTGGACTAGATACATTGACTAGTCACTGGAGAGAAATCAATTTCTGCTGATTTCTGTTCCAACCAAACTAACATATAACAAAGTGCACCGCGATGGTGGCACATTGCAAATCATTTGATAGAATTCGGTCAGCACTCACAACTAGATAACATGAAATTGACTGCTCTCTAGTCACCAATCAACGGATGTAATGCAGTCGTACAGGCAGTCAGCCGTGGTGCGAATAGCTTAGTGATAAGATGGGTGAATGCAACACTGGGTGACCTTAGTTACGATCTCAGAGGGGACATGAGTTCCTTCGAGCTTGGAAATACACATTACTGACGAGAGGTGACAAGCATGAAACTCAGATGCAGGTCAACCCCCCCCACCCAACTGCTCGCAACCAACCAATTAACATGCATCAAATTGTATTGCAATGGTGAGTCTCCCTAGCTGAGTGGCGATATTCCAAAACAATCGGTGGAATTCGGTCAGCACTCACGACTAGACAACATGAAATTGGGTTACTAAACTTTTGAAAGTCACAAGGTCCAGACCATACACGCTAATTAAAGTTTCTTGATCTGATATAATGGATCTAAATACTAGATAACGGTATAGTGAGACAGATTCACTTCACAGACAACTCTTAAAGTCAAGTTGACTAAATTTAATTCAGGTGCTATTTGTTTCTGTGATTTTTATAGAGAAAATACCGATCTTCGTGTGCCGAGTCCTGTCATGTATATGTATGTATTTATTCCTTACATCTGTTGTATACCTTCATAATTGTCATATATCTGTGTATCGAAACTCAAGTGTATGCTTTCGATGAGTAAGAAAAAAACATTTTGATGGGGAAATTCAAATGGTTACAGTCAAAAAAGAATACTGTTATTATGAGGTACAGAGTCAGCAATTTACGTGAGGCATCCAGCTCACTTTTTGAAGTCATTATGTATGAGTATGAAATAATGGTAATAACAATAATCATAATGGTAACAGATAATAATAATAGTAGAAATCTCATCATCACACTGTTTGTATGTGGACAAAAGGACATTGTCAGCGGAGCCAATATTTTTTGTACTGTAGCGAAAACAAAAGACTTCACTAATTAAACTTTTTTCTAAAAAAAAACCTATCTCATCCTGTAACAGTAAACACATAAAAAAGGGATGAGAAAGCCAGGCGACAAGTATTAGAAGTTAATCCTCTTCTTTCAATTTCAAGAGTGATTATGAAAAGGAAGATTTTACAACGACAATAACAATGGCGAAAACAAACAAATAAACACAAAAGACTGACATCACAGTTGAGATATTTTAGAAAACTTGTCAACAAATAAGTTCAATATGTGTAACGGAAGTTAGTGGGAAGGGGAAGAGGCTGGAATTGGGATCATAGACAAGAAAGACGATAATTATAACAACGAAATTAATAATAATAATAATAACTGTAACAGTGAGCAATAGTAATGATAATCTAGAATATCAACATCTGTTTTCAGTATAGAAGTAAATTTATGTACGCAGCTCTTTCCCAGATTCTACTTTTAAAGGTTATCATTCACTAGAATAGAGTTTTTCTGATAAATCATGACCTGTATTTCCAAAAATAAGAAAAAGAAATGGAATCCAACTGGATCACAAATCAAATGTGTATTTATTGTTTACGTACTTTTTGGACTTCAAACTACCTCGTACTCAGAACCTATCAATAAAATAGAAGAAAGGTAATCTAGATTAATTAGTGTCAATCAATGATGTGAACAAATCAGAAATTCATCTATAGAGGGAATTATTTTACAATGGGGAGAGTAGACCGCTTTGACCTAGAGATGTTCAACATTATTTTGTAATTAGTTGCCTCAATGTGACAACACCATGTAGGCTATAATATAGTTTGAGAAATATATGATTAGGCATTACGGAAACTGTTGCTCAGTAATAAAAACACTCTTAGATTAGTATTAGCAGTTAAGAAGTATTAGCCGGATATGCCACCCTAGTGTCTTTTTATATCGACTGCTGTTTGATAACACCTGGGTTAGCCAAGAGTTAATCCTTCATTAACATGATGTCATAGCATGAAGGAGAATGGTACTGAGTTGGGATTTGTTGCAGCATCACAACCTACTACATCGAACCCAAAGAACACGGAACTGAAGTTCTATTTCACCTGCTGAATAAGCGAAAAATAAGCAGATAATTCATGCCTTCTTTAAATGGTTCTCGTGTAATTGTCTCTGTGTGTGTATGTTTGCTTATTACACTTCCTTGCCGCAACATATTGTCGTTTTAATTTGTGCAGTGAAAAACGTTTTTGTTTCAGATGAAATTGAGAAAAAGAAGTAAAAGTATACTACATACACTGGACAGACTAAGTTCTCTTATACGAAAGATAAGCTATTCAATGGGTATATTCCAGTAAAACGTCTGGCCAATAAGAGGAAAATGTATAGAAGTTTTCGACAACAATAAGGTTTGGAAAAAGCATAGTCTGATGCTTGGATAACAGCCTGAACTTATTCAAAAGTTATATGTAGGAATGTTGCAAGTAGCAAAACTGAAAATAAAGAAATATCTTGACAATTCTATGTCTCATTAGAAGGAATAAATGTGACAAACTAAAGAACATAAGGTTCGACAGAAAGTACTGAGAAACAAGGAAAACAACGAACCTGGGAAATAAAAAAAACAGGTGTTATACTGACCGGAAAAATATGATTCTCAGATAAGTATGATCCATCATATTCCTTGATTTAATTTAAAAGATATTTTGTTTACGACTTTTATGATATTATTGTATCGCTCAGTCTAAGAGATCTCTACCGATACCAATTATTTCCGTACGATTTACAAGTCGAAAATACCTGGGTGTTATTATGCACGATTCCGTTTTCTACGTATAAAATCAGTTATTTCATTTTTGTGACTCATGGTACAAGTGAATATGTTTTAGCTGTATATGTATGTATGACTTGGAATACGAATAAAATAAGAAGAACAAGCATCAGTCTTCGACTTATATCTTACGAAAGTTGGGGTTGATAATCGAGTAGTCAATGATCCATTGATAAATTGCGTATATGAAAATTCGTAGTTGTATGCGGTGTCGATCACGTGTATAGTCTGTGCTATAGGTGAACCGAACAATCACGTGACCAAAACACATAATCTAAGAAAGTATAGAAACTTGTATAACTAACCATCGATTCAGTTTGATGCAATTCCCATTCAGACATTAAAATGTTACCAACAGAGTAAGTACTAAGAAATCGAACAAAAACGAGGGTTATAGATAGGCATAGAAACATATATTTCCTCTCACTTAGGAAAGCAAGTTGAAATAGTTATGTTGTTTTGAGAAACATGGCAATAATCATCAGACAGATACTGACCTCCCCAAGTAGGTCTAGATCAGTGTGCAGAGGAAATTTTTTAACAGACACATCTGGTGTGGCTAATATACAGAAGTGCTGGCTGTAAGCCCTGATATTGTAGTGGATGTTGCTGATAAGAATGGATATAAGTAGTATAAGTTGAGAGGGTGGCAGGAATCATGGGGAATTACCAACAATGGGTAAGGATTCTGCCAAGAGCAACGCAAGGGATAACGCGGGCGTATTACAATGGATGCTGCTTCTAAGAATGTATGAAGAGCAAATCAAGAGAGAAACAGAAGAGGAAACGAAGCACATTTTGCAAGCGACGAGTTTACTGCCAAGCGTACCATATGTAACGACTACCGTTCCAATTGTTGGTAATAAATGTTCTTTCCGTCATGTCTATCTTCAGTCTCTTCAATGTAACTAATCTTACTCGAGTAAAGAGCCTTTAGGTAAGAAAATGTATTGACAGGTTACAGTTGCACCGGCGGGTCCTGAAGTCAGAAGACATCTTCAGACTAAGAAATATCGTGCTTCAGACGCTAGTAGTCCCGTATTTTGAGATATGATGCAGGTTAGAAATCCTTTCGAAACACCAACAATGTAGTTGACTGTTTTAAGCATTACACTTTGAAGAATGAGTCCACAGTTCACATCCTGCTCCACTTATTTCAGCTCGGTAACATTAGATGTTTTATGGACTAGTACATATATTTGCACTGGATTGAGTTGCATTCATTTGTTCACAGCAACAAGTAAACAAGCTAACACGTGAACGCATTCGTTGTACTGTAATTTGAATAAATTGCCTTATGAAATGCCATCTATTGTTATTGTTTTTAATATCGGTTAATAGATAACGTCAAAACTACTGGTGATTTGCCGTCAAATCATGTGACAAAATGGTGGCCGACCTAAAACATCGATATGAAAAACACACTTAGACAGTAAACAAAATCTGAAGAAAGAAACCATTCACGAGATAGTTTTTAACATTTCTTTGTGTGGTTATGACTAGTAAGTTTTGTCTGAAATTTTATCTCGTCAATAATACTGTCTTGTTATGAACAAATCGAGATAAAAAAATGATGGTGTAATCTATGACAATGCTCAGGTGGTGTCTGGTTGACGCTTCTACTTCCACTTAACAGGTTATAGATTCAAGACCTACTTACACCCACCCCTGCCCGAAATTTGATACAGATAGTACACCTTGCCATATAATGTACAAATCTATTATTAGTAGTAGTACTAGTAGTTATATTTACTCCTATCTTGATGAAATACTGACAGACTCAAAATACTCAACAACTGAAATCAGGTGAATTAGTTACACATAGCTTTTTGTCTCAAGATGCGATTTACGCCGACGACTTTGGGATTTCAATATTTAAGTTCATATGGTTTGCTGTTAGGTATGAAAAAAGGTGTTGATAATCAACGTCTCAATACATTATTCGAAGTGAAGTTTCACGAGACCCCAGATATTATTTCGTAAGAAAGTGTCTTATTTTATCATCAAATTCTTTAGTTTTCATTTACACTGAAAGTAGTTGGTTTTAGTTTCATCCCCATACCACCGACTTTCATGACAGTAGACTCTGAACTAAATTGGTTTATGGTGAAATGCATGCTCCACAACCACGTTAGGATAACAGCTTCAAAAAAATCACAATGGTAGAATTTTTTACCAAGAGTAAAATAGACAGTGCAGTAACTACTTGTATGTTTTAGAACATGACTGTTGAAATCAAACAAACGTGGGAAATCAACTGAAAACCGACAGTTGTTGTCTTTATAACAGTAGTTGCTTGTGAAAAGACGACACAGTGAGTATCGTCCGAATAACGCGTACTAATTGAAGTTATGAAGACGTATAGAAGAAGGTTGGTGAGAGCTCCATCTCTCATAAATACCACATATGTCAATACATGCTGCTGTAGGAAGACTAGGTTGAAAGGTTGTCAGGTCGGAGTAATACAAATGACTGCTGAATTGGATCTTACAGATCACTTCAGCTTCAAAGTTGGGGTATTTGGAATGTCAGAAAGCGTTCACTAAAGGACATTTGTATTATTTCGGATGATAGTGACACAGGTCAATCCTCTTTTCTATCTTAAACTGTATTTTAAACATATTACTATACTGCTGTCGTTTATTCTTGGGTTTTCTCTACTACCCTATATTCTTTAGATCCATTCTCTTTGTCAATATTCTCCGAAAAATTAAAGGAGGTAAAATGCCAATATAACTAGGTGATTCAAGCAGCTAAGATGGGGATTCAAGATATCCAAGTAAAAGTATCAGTAATTCCAAGGGGTTTTAAACTTGGTACGACAGCAACAATTTCATTTCGTCTAAAATGTCTTATATCTATCTTGAATATCACAAAGGTTAACTGAAGTTCAGAAGTACAGTGAGGTTCGAATACAGGACTCAATGTTTGAAAAGTGAAGTGGGCAAACTTTTCAGATACTGTTCTCAACAATAAGACGTCTGAATATAATACTAGATGTATGTAAAAGCGTGATTGGTGCTCAAAATAGGAAACAACAATACACACTATAAAGTAAGCATTCGCCTTTATCCAGTATAACAAAGATATTTTGATTTCCCATGACAATGGAAACTTCATCAACAGTTACTTAACTGACTAATTGAAAAAAAATGGTAAGAGAAAATTTTAAGGGATACATTTAGTAAACAATTTGAAAAGTAGTAATGATGAATAGTGGCTAGCAGTGAAATCCAGGACGCACATTTTGTCCTGTTTCAGACTCGTCAGCCGGCTGTACCTGCCTCTTAGTGAGTGACATTGCAAGCAATAACATAAAAATTGGAACATGTTTTATTGGTGCTGGATAAAGTGATTGACGATTACATAGAATAACAAAAGACAACATGCAGAAATAGACAAGTTGAATAGGCGGAGGTTCACATTTATTTAAAAATTTCTTTTCATGGTAAACTACATTCCAAAAAACATGCGGTCAGCAAAACTTGTTACTGCTTTGAATGTATCTACGTACGTACGTGTATGTGCTTGTAGTTTCAGTAACAGTGTTGACAAAAACATATCTTTTTAGAGATTGTAAAGTGTCTAACGCTAAAATCTAGGTGATTTGATGAAACGTACTTTAGATATATCATGACAAATGATTACAACGAATATTCACGGTGGTTATCATAAGCAAATTCTGGAAGAACGGGATTTTATAGCTTCGGTTACATTATATATATATATATATATATATATATATATATATATATATATGCTATTTACCACTTTTAGCATTGCGGTTAACACTCAACTATTTGCCAATAAATCACAGGTTTAAGCCTAACTTCACGTACTTAGCTATATAAAGTGTGCCAACTGCACACATATGTTTAGACGACAACTCAACCCAGAGGAACGTGAACGAAACTTATACTTTCTGTTCAGATCTTAAAAAAGATGATGTGTGCAGAAAAATCCTCGGAAAAGGGCATAAAATAAACAGTAAGTGATTCAATTCACTGTATTACTCTTCCAAATTAAGATCATTTCATCACTTGCAGAGTGCGTTTCTACAATTCCAAAGGATTTTGACTGCGTCATCTACACACAACCGAATCATTGGGAATTCACAATCTCAAACCTTACCTATGTGTTACGAACACGTGCACTCATCATCCCAATTATGACTAGACTGCTCATTTCCTCTTCACTAAAATTGTCCTAAAATCTTAGGATATTTTGTTTCGTTTTTCATAGCTTGGTCATTTTTACACATCAAGTTAGCTCAAGAAATGCCACTTCCCGGTATTAGTTTTTATGTCTTCCCTTTCAGACAACTGTTCTTGTTGCGTAAAAAATTTCCAACTGGTTTCAATTGATTTTGTTGAGCATAAATATGATTGTACAGCTTTAAAAAGGGGACTGTATAAAGAAAAACTACGGCTATCTCACTCAGACAGTCAAAATGATAAAAGGAAACTATCTTTTTTAGTACGTTTCTGTTACGTAACTTGAATTCAAATATTTAGGAGTCACAAAAGAAACAGCAAATATTGAGTGAGTAAACACCAAAACAAAGCGAAAACACAACAATAATAAAATGTGAGTGTAAAATTGGGTGAGTCCGAAAGTCATCCCCAGGTGCTGTCGTGCTTGTCATAGGTTTTTAGAGTTCTTTGTAAAAATGCCCATATTTTCTGTGTTATGAGTACATATTTTACCTGTTTGTATAGTTTTTACAATGCTGACTGTCATTGAATCGTGTTTCATACCGTTTATTCATGTGCACGGTATTGACCGTACTTCCACTTCACAAGTGAAAAGTAAGTACAGCTATTCAAGATGAATAATGCTCACAAATCACAGAGAATTAGTTGAGGCTTCAAATTGTAGCAGAAAGGATTTATGATCTCAGCTTTCACTTCAAAATATATGCACAGAGCACACAGAAAACACACACTTTAACACATAACGCTATAAGTTCTTCCTGAGACCTGCTTGAGTCTTGGGCTACCCAAATTTTCCACCAAACATATACGTCAAATTCTTTGCTTTCAATTTGTTTAAATCGCTCGACTATGTCTTCTAAACGTGCCATGTAATTATGCACAGTTTAAAAATGTTTTCGGCTAGTCGTTTTTCGAGTACATAACAGAACGAAAAGATGTCAAGTTCGATGGAAATGGACTTTTCGTTGTGTAAAAATTCAGTATATTTCCACTCTGCGGACGCTTAGCTCAAATGGCAGATTCTTGTATTGGCTGAATGAACTGTCACCACCAAACTTACATTCAATTTTTTGTACATCACCCATTCTAGATTGGAAGCTAATCCAACAGCAGAAGTCACATTATTGCCTTTAATAGTGTTATGATCAACATCACTCAGATGCAGCAATCATTTAGTTTGAATATATTGTTCTGGTAGTGAACTTACTGAGAATTCCATACTGTATAAAACATATTGTTTGAAATAAAGCGATTATTATTATTAACATCTAGAGATGAGTTTTAGTAGCATCGTTGTTCAATTGATGAAACATACCTTTAACAAGCCTGTGTGGTACACTAGCCAAACTGCGAACAGTATCACCAGCCACTTGATTACATTTAGACCAAAGAGTTTTTACAGCACCCACAGCTTCACTCAATTTACCTTCAAGTTCTGTATCTGCATTTATTTGGTTTTTCGCAGCGCTGTCGCTCAAATACCCAGAATTCTTATCGATCCCGTTAGCATCTGAGGTGTATACAGAAACCAAAAGATCATTTGATGCGCTCGATGATGGAAGTGGAGGTAAATTAGCTGGACGCGTTGCATGAATCTCCATTAAAGGCCATGAACTAGCCACCGAAGGATGTAGAACTTCCTGCTTCAGATCACAGCATAAATCATCGAATTCTTTTTCGGTTGAACATAAAAACCCCAATACCATACTTGGATCCAACCGTTTAAGTGGCATGCGTATGGGATTTTCACAATGATATGTCTGATCATATTCTGGTTTCAAATTACCTCGACCTGCAGATTGAGTAGTATGTGGATCTAAACAGATCACATCATCTCCAACAACACCAACAATCCATACAGCATGACAAGGTGATCCGCCCAAAATCCCAATACAGTGGGGCAAACAGAACACAGCCTATGACATTAAGAAAAATTATTATTATTATAGTCCTGATCAGGAATACGTCGACATACTGATTGCTGAAATGAATGAACCAAACAGTAGACACCAATGGTAAGGTGGTGCTAAATATTTTGTTCGTCTTAAGGAGAACAACCAATTAGTTTACAGTCGACTATGTAAAATTGTCTTACCTATTCAAAAGTAGCTAAAGTGTAGACAAAGATAGGACAACCGCTTAAATTAGCTAAAAACAACGATGAATACAACTTTATCAGACCTTAAATGATCTTAACCACACATGTGCAATAAGTCTGATATTAATCAGTGGTCTAGATATTCATTTGTCAACAAGTGGGTCATAAGGTTGAAATTCAAACCCACTTAGACAGCATTTATTGATGAATAAACACCAAAATTAAGAAAGATTAATGGATGCACCAGAATTTCAAACAGATACCACCAAGCTTCTGATCGAAAACATCTTTTTTGCAAGTGAACGAATCGCCACTTTGCATTGCATACGAGATTTCTGGAGCCTAGGTGAGAAATTCAACAACCTATTAGAGAAGACTTAAACTGCGCTATAGCTTGCTCTATGATTCGATGAAGAGGCTACAGGATTTTCGCCATAAGTACCACTACTCATGTATGGGGGAATCACCTCACGAGGAATCTTGAGATTAGGTGGAGAGCACTAGGTAAGCATGAGATTGTCAACCTTCACTAAATGAGGTGGCTTAAACACGTGTTGCATTTGCCGAACCACCGCTTACTCTGATGTTAATGTTAACTGAAATAGGACTGAGATGGAAAAAGGCTCTCTAAAAATTCTTTCTTCTTCTATGCACCTTTACTAACTTTGAAATTACCCTTTTTCTATCCACCTGTTATGATGCACTTTCTGCGAGGTTCCACGTTGACTTTGTCTGCATAAAAAGCATAAAACAACGTTCACAATGAAGACAATAATGTGTATAATATATCTTCTTATAACCGACCGATAGCTGCTAACCTGGATGCAGTGGTCAGGTTTACACATCGATGAACTACACTAGCTGAGACGCTTGTTTTCGCGAGGTCCTAACATGCTAGAAAGGTCTGTTGGACAGTGGTAAGATGAAAAGCAGTTAACGTTATTGTGTAAATCGCTACACCATGATGAGAGTTTGAAGGCGAAGTCGCACTACTACTAGCTGGATGGGGTGTGGCAGAAGTAAGTTGTTTCCCTTGGATGACCAGAAGTGCCCTCCTGATGCTGACTTTCTTATAGAAATGAGGGGTTAGAAAAGGTTGGCTCCAAACATAGCAAGCTCATCCCTACCCCACGGTCTCCAGGTGCTGGTGGTATGGGGTTTCTCTATGCGGCGTTAGAACAATCACGTCAAACATAACATATCCTCCCTAACTCTATTTCGCCCTATGCCTTGACCTTCAGATACTAATATTAGGCCTCTTGCACCTTCTCCAACCTCTCACTCTGCGACCATTGTCGACTATCAAAGCTATTGAAACCTCATTCTCTTAAGACACCTCCATCGATTTCACATTGGAGCGTTCAACGTCTTAAGTCTATGCCAAATCGGACAGGAAGTATCGCTCACCAACACTCTAGAATCTCGAGTCATGGATGTATGCTGAGACACGTATACAGGAATAGTGTGTGCTTATTAAATTGGTCTCGTCTGGCCGTAGTAATAAATCTGCAAAACTCACTTCATGAGTATCTTGTGATGCAATGGTTACCTCTCGTCGACTCCCCGGCGTGTAGGTATATCATTTAGTTATCGAGCAGAAAGCACACTTGTCAATAACCGTTTGTGTGCGGTCTGACTGAATATACCTGTAAGGACTGGGAAGGATCGGGAGTCCAACTGATGCCTTTTCGTAGTCTCCGCCTGCTAATCGCTCACCAACTGCACTTCAGATGATGCGAAGGATGAATTCTATGGAAAGCTGTCAACTTTGCTACAGAAAGTAAAACGTCTGGATGTAGTCAAAGTAACAGGTGACTTTAAGGTTCAAGTAGAGAAGATGAGCTGATCCAATAGGAAAGGCATCTGGAGAGTACTTACGGAATCCCACACCAAGGAACCGACAGCGGTAATTGTCCGTTACAATTTTGTTCCGACAATCACTTGTTTCTGGCCAGCACCAACTTTAAGCATAAGAAGAGACACTGTCTCACATGACTTCCGCCAATTTCGAACAAACGATGGATACAGGTTAATCACATTGCTGTAAGCCAGCCAGCCAGCCAGCCATCGTTGGAGAGAATCGGAGAAGGTTTGACACCCTTTCTGGAGTACCAGTTCGAACTCCGATCATGCGTTAATGCGAGCACCTCCGCATTTGTGCACCTTACTGGTCGCGGGAAACAGGCAGCAGTGAAACCTGTCTGTGTCCGACTGGAAGATGAGACAGGTAGGTGGTCATCTAAACGTGACAGCAATCTTCATCATGAGGGAAGGTGGTGCGTAGTGTGATATTAGGTCTGTTGTCGAAACAGCAGTGAAGACAGTTGTCAGCCTACATCCAAAGGTTAGTAATGTTCAGTGGATTTCCATAATTTCATCTGTACTGTCTCCAAACACAAAGAGAAGCGAAGTCAACTCGTATATACAAACTGATCAACAGTCTTCACAACGATGATGAGGAGTGACGTGTGGCGATGGGGAAGGCGTCAACAACACGTAGTATCGAGTAATTACTTAGGCTTAATAAGGATACCGCCGGCAATAAGAAAGCGATGGTTAGTGGGACACCACCACCACCAAAAAGAGTGGGATGTTGTTAACTCCTCAGAACAAGGGGATACAACGTTGGACGGAACACTTCGAAGTACAGTTCAACTGGTCCACAGCCACACTTCGGTTACCCAGTATCCAGCCCGAACTTGAATAACACCTAGATGTCGGTCTTCCAACTCTTCTTGAAGGTGAAAAGGCTGTTTCAATCCTGAAACAATGCACAGTAGCAGGAGTTGGCGGTTTGCCATCCGAGGTTTGTAAGGATGGAGTTAGTAAGTTACTGATTGGAGTAATGGATTTGCTAGGTATTGTGTGGGAATCAGAGGTAATCTTGTCAGATGCTTGGTTCAATGGTTATTCCGGTTTACGAGAAAGGAGAGGAATCCCCTAATGATAGCCGTAGAAGAATCCGTTTGACGAACAACGTGTCTAATATCCGAGGGTCCGTAGTTGTTCTATGCTTCATTGCGCCTCAGTAACAAAAAACTGGGTTAAATCAGGCAGATCTCAGACTTGTATGAGGGTCCATCGATAAGATTTTTACCCTCCGGCTGGTTCTAGAATACCAGGATATTTACTGGTGATCAATACTCTTGATATTTGTTCACCTGAATGCGGCATTTAACTCTGTCGACAGTGAGGTGTTATGGCAGTGTCTGACTGTGAAAAGAGTAACGGGTATGTATGTACGCTTATGAAAGTTCCCCTCTCAAACTGAAGTAGGCGTGTAAGGGTTTATGGAGAGTTATCATCGGAATTGACGACAACTAGTGGTGATCAGATATGGCCAGTGTCACCGTTTCTATTTAAGTTTGTCATAGACGTACTGATGGGCATAACCCTAGGTACATGTGACTTGATAGGGACTGATCTACTCTGTGGAGGTCATCTGGTTGACTTGGAGTATGTAGACGATATTTTCCGGTGCACTTGTTCAAGAAGTTCTACGATGATTCTATCTGCCTGTCTGCTACACAAACTGCATCATCTTTTCCGTTAAATTTTTTAAATGTTTGAACTTGCGACCTTGCTTCACTTGTTTTTACCATTGATAAAATTTCTAATCGGCCGGTGCCACTTAGCCCATCGAAAGTTGCCTTTAAGTACAATATACGACTCAGGCACTTTCAAATGACATATACCAACTGAGTTGGTTAACTTCCACGTTCCAACCTCGATGCAAATAAGACAACTGATAGGTTTGGCTGGGACTGGAAACCATTGCCATTGATGCATTTCGTCTCTCAGAGACCGATATTCAAGTAATACTAACAACTCCATTTGTCAGATCAAAATGCTTAACTTACGTCTATTCAGGGACTATGGAGAATCAGTAATCATCCCTGATGGTCTTAGTCTCACACGAAGTTCTGGAGATAAGGTTCTACTAGTTAAGTGGTTCCTGAATAAAAATTATCAGTGTGCTATTTGGCCATAAAGATCGACTGCAGTAGGGAGAAACTGACAAGGGAAATTGTGTCTCTTCATAACCTCTGTCTGTGCTCCGAATGAGTGCAACCTTTGATACAGATATGTAGAAGTCCTACCATGAACTGAGTGGCTTATATTGCGTGCTTGGCAGATATTATACTTTTAGCTGAGAACCTTAATACATAGGTGGGTGTCTAGTTTTAAACGGGAGGATTAATCGGTCATATGTCGGCTAACGAGGAGTGCCTTCTGGAGTTTGCAAGGATCTAAACCTATTTCTAGCCAAGACTGATCTCCGGCAAAACTAACATCGTTGTGGTACCTGGTGTTCTTCATCGATCGCTCAAGCTTGGACTCAAATAGATCATAATGTCATAAGTTATCGGTAAAGTGGATCCATTTAGAACTGCCACCTAGAGCTATAATAGGTTCACCTTGCGTATTAATGGTTACTGAAATCCGCATTCTAAAGAGGTCAACGTAAGCGAATCGGCTGCTTTCAGAAACACGACTGAGTACTTAACCAAGTTAGGTTTAAGTTTAACTGTCAGATTTACAGAAAGCATGGATGAGCATTGGGTGCACCTACAAGACGCCATGAAAACGGTGAGTAAAACCCTTGGTGGCATCAAAGAACTTCCCGCTAAGGAACACCAGGAATCTGCATTTTTATTGCAGCTTCTTGATGACCATTGGTCTATTTCAGCGGAAAACGAGTACAATCGTATGCACAGTTTCCCTACGCGATAGATTACACAGAATTTACATAAGAACAATGAGGTCTGGTGGTTAGAATGCGCAAGTGAGATGGAAGCAGCAAGCTTACTTGCCAATAGTCGAAAGCTGTCCCAGATTATCCCGGTCATTTACAACAAGAAGGCTGGTGTCAGTGAAATACTCTATGAAGTGGATGATATGTGAATTAACAAATTAACCTCAACTCTTATTAGGGAGAAAGGAGAGGCTTTACATAGAGGAATGACAGGGTTATTCGAGAAAGTACGGTAGACTGAGAATGTTCTATTTCTCTGTGATAGGGTTTACGTAAGGAATTCGACAAACAGCGTGGTACAATCTGCTACCAGTAGTGTCGGTAACATTAAGTGCTATTAAACTTCAAAGGCTATTCACCACGTATGAAAAGTGAGGAGCATGTACAGTTCCGTTCAATCGTGGGTGGACTTATCAAGTGTTAGTAGTCAAAAAGTGATTGTATCTAACTACTTCACTGAAAGTGCTGGATGAGGTATAACTGATGAGATTTATAACTATACATAGAAAGCCAGGATGGCATACTTCAATCTCAATCAATTTTTGCACCATCCTGACGGTGAATGGATAGGTGCATAGCACGTCAGTAAGGATACTTCTAGTATATGCCTGTGAAACCAGTTCTCTTCAAGCTGAAAATATACTACTCTGTATTTTCCATCACAAAAGTCTCCTTGTGATTGTTTGGATCCAATCAATCAGCTAAAATTGAAATAAGATGGGACATTACTACGTAACGATCAAAAATATCACAATCTAAACCATTACAAAAAGGTAAAAGGTACTAAGGTAAAGGAAAAATAAATGAAGAAAATAATCAGGAGTGATAGCCATTTATAGGAAGGAAACAGAATATAAAATAATAACGAAATTCACCATAGTGATTATGATGAAAATTGTGTGCGGAAGTATTTCATTTACCGACATCAATTCTGAGCGATATAATCAGAGATCTATAACTACCATTTTCGGTTTCCCCAACTGTGAAGTCTGCATTTCGCTATATAGCCCATACTTTAGTCGGTCCACGTTTGACCTATAAAAATCCCGCGCACACTTCAGGTACTTCTGTGCAACGTGGTAGAGAGTGACCAGGTATACGAAGTTTAGTGAAATATAGTGAATACAACTCAGCAGCAAAAGTTTTGTAAAATGAAATGAATTTGAAATATCTTTTCCTCGCACAAAATTTGGAAGTGTAGTGGTAGTCAGTGAATTTACACCTAATTTCTACGTTACGTTATGTGGTGGTTCCAAGATAGATAGGTGATGCTACGAAAAAAGGGTGATCGAACTCTTGATAACAAGTGGGTGTTTCCTGATGATAATGAGTATTCCGAATCTATGCTACCTTCCCTCTACTGAAAAGTGTAATTTAAAAATGCTACCGCCAAAAATAGTATACTCTTCACACAAAAAACTTAGGAGATGGCAGTAAGTATGGAAAACACTTTAACTATTGAACGGTACACTCAACCCCTTTATTAACCAATCGGCAATCATGCCAGCGCCCTACATGATATAAGTTGACAAAAACCAACCAATATATTTGTATTCATGCGGAGATTTCAACGGTTACTGACCACACCAGGACTGATCCGACTTCCCAAGTAAGTGAAGTGGTCAACACAGTCAACTACTTCACTCCCTATTGCCAGACGAGGCATCAATGCATACCAGTCCTCAGGCACTAATTTGTATTTGTGTGGTCACAAACGTATTCCAACCGTTCTCAAATTGCTGCATTCAAAGTGTCTCCAGAAGACTCTGAATCTTGTCAGATCTTCAACTAACAGGACTATATCATCTGCGTACTCCAATTCTACCAGGGATTCTCCTGTAACAAGAATAACCATTATAGATTCAGACGATGAGAGGGAGACCTACATATGTATGTCTATGATAAAGTTAGATAACAATGAAGAGTGGACATCTTGACGAATACCACTCGACGTACACAAATCAACCGATAACTTATCATAAACTCTAACACGCTCACGAGTGGTCGAGTACAGATCCGTCAACAGAATGATGTACTTACTCGGCGTTCCTTTCAGTGACAGAAACTACCAGAAGACCTCTCGATTGGCAGAATCAAGTGTCGCCTTCAGATCGAGAAATATAGTTAGTGCTTGTAAGCGTGCCCGTGTTTTTGAACCTAGTGTAGCGTAGATCTCCGGTTTATACACATGCCGTCAGATCTAAAACCTTGAGGTTGGAGATACACCTTTCTGACGAATGCCAAAAAGCACGAAACCTAGATTAAAGGATTCCTACCGATTGCCTCGAACCAACTAACAAGGTCTGAAACTTGCCTGGTTTTCTCCGAATTCTATTCAGACATCTAATGATTACAGAATCTAGGATCTTAGACACCGTATTTGTCAGGCAGATTCCACCATACGATTTAATCTTTGCTAGCCTTGAGTTTGGTTGGGATAAATACAAGTGGTGGGTATATGACATGGCGCTGTGGGATGAATGATAGTTGTGTTAGGTTTGCATCTGCCTATGGCCTCACGGCTTTCAAAACAGCATTCGAGAAGTAATGCAACTCGGCGGTTCGAGGTGACAAAAGGCAGCTGAGAACTGAATCTAGTTGTGATCATATTGAAGCTTTATTGTCTTTTGCTATCAAAAAGTAAAATGAAAGTAGTGAAGGCTTCTTTGTACATACGTCACTTTTACCTCCTTACTTCTATATCACTTTCTATGCTTTCCTAATATTGTTGTTATGTTCTATGTAGGGGATTTCTCGCTGTTAATGTTGTACTACTTTTGTGCTTTTAATAAGTAATAATAATAATCTACTTATTTCATACATTTATTTGTAGAGTCGCAAAAAGTATAAGTGAAAATAATCAAAGAGAATTTTATTTTGCATATATAAATCCTAATTCACTTGGCTTACCTTGATCGCACTGAAGTAACACGGATTAGGGTTGTGTAATCCAAGTCTGAGAGGGACAAACAACAGCAAAGGTCTCCAGCTGGATGAAGACGAAGTAAATGAAGATGGCGAAGGTTGTGCAGCTACTTCGTTGTCATTACTACCGTCATGTTGATTTGCTTCTTCCATATTCACTTGGTCATCTTTGGAATGATCATCAGTATGACCATCATCACGAATAGACGTTTTGTTATTCTCATAACTCGGCGATGAACAGGAGTTAGATATAGTTGGTGTCGATAAAACGTTTGACTCATCTGATTGACTAGCAGCCGTTGGATTTGTAAAGGTTGGCGGCAGGACTATTTCGATGCAACAGTCATCAATTTCTCTGGTAACTGGTAACTGGAGTTGAGACTGTAAACTAAAATTCACGATGTAAGATAAAGCGTTATGTGATAATACATAAAATAAAGTAAGGAATCACTTACGAAATAAAATAAAATTTTTAAGCTAAATGAAACATCACTATGACGACTAGAGTCAATTAGTGAGAAAATAAACCAGGTTTCATGTTTCCGCTGACAGCTATAATCAGAAGGCGTTTTTAAACTTGAAATACTCTGTCAGCCATAAATGGATGACCCATTTGCATACATAATTTACCATTATAAATCTTGAGCAGGGGTCCAAATCATTTATTAGCAACACCTTGGATGATGCATAGTATTACAAAACGCGGAAATCAAATGAGGATCGTGAGTTTGCACACAACTCATTGTCATGTGACGAGTAGGAAGTATACACTACCTACGGGCGATTGACTTAAAGCACCTAACGTGAATATATCTGCAATAAGCAATTGAAGGTTTTGAAAATATGCCGCTAAATGTGAATGATCTGATTGCTGAACCGAAAAGCTTCTTTTTTCAAGGTGAACTGTTTATTGTAATCTATATTAGATAACAAAAAAGAGCATAATTCGCTAATGAATACCCACTTGTGTTTCGATTGCAACAACCAGACTACTTACAAATCTACAGTATAACTAAAATTAGTAATGATGAAAGTCGATTTTTAATTGATGGGGATAATATAAAGATGGTGAAAGCCATTTTGCAAAATGCCAGTAACTGTTAAGTGCAGCCATCAGTTGATGACGACTGTTAGTAATGCCTGAATGTTTTTAAATCTAGGTTGAATGTTGTTTGGGAACAAACAGCCAATAATTGGAACTTTTCAAAGTGATTTAACAATAACATAACGTTGAAAAAGGGTTCACATTTACAAATTATACAGATAACTGCTTATCATAAGTAATATGCAGCGTTTTAAAGACGAATAAGTTTTTCTACCGCATATAAAAAAAGTCCACCATATCTAAATATATGATACTGAACCTTAGTACTTTTTTACCTAGTGATTCGACGGAATGTTATCGATAATGTTGAAACGGTGGTAGATAGATGTGTAGAAAATTAAAACATTTTCAACCTTAATGAACTTTATCTCAAGTTTACACCAGTACTATTAGAACCAGGGTGGTGAATTCGGGAGTTTTTTACATTTACAATATAAAGTGGTGGTGCAAAAAAGTCATTGATAATGAAGTATATCACTTAAAATTTCAACATATGGAGACTAACCGCATCATTTAGATTCCTACAACTGCCCGTTTAAATGAACTTGTCTAAAATCCTTAGGCGTTCAATATCGAGGATGAGGAACAGCACACGTTCTTAACAATCTCCAAAAGTACTGGAATAGTGTACGCTGAATCGGTGAATGCTGAATGCCAACTGTTAAGGCTTCGCTAGCATTTTAAATAAGACATCGTTAGTAAACTTGAAGTTGAAAAGATTTAGGATTTAGGATTAACACAACTAGTAAGCACATATATCAAACGTTTATTTCGAACAACATGGTTACAGGACGAACGGGTCAAATAAAGCAACCCAACTACTGGTTCAAGAAGACCGAGGAGAGTTGTTGGGGTGTTCAGTTTGCTTGAGGTATTGTCTCACAAAATCGTTAAATGTTATTGAACTCTTTACAGATACCACTGTTTTTTGTAAATACAATGCTGTTCAATAACTTGAAGACAACCTTGATATAAGAAACACCGCAATTTTCGATATGTAACATTATGGTTAAAGCCTCTTACTGGAGAGCGAAGATATTAACAACACTAAACAGGAAGTTATGTTGGTGCTACCATGAGGAGATGTCTATAAACATTCATCTGCTCCCCGAGATATTTTGATACAGAAGAAGTGAATTTGTGATTAAAATGCTAAACCAAACTCACTCAACTAAATCTGAATCGTAGTTACGTCTATGAAGGGCTTCTTTATTCCAGTCGCAACTCTGATTCAATTCTCCAACATTTTGAACAAATGGACAACTATATGAGGATGTTGAAGAATCCGATTCTTCTCCAGCATCAGTTTTATTCTCATCAGTAGCAAGATTTGTTGACTCACTACACTCACATTTATTTTTACTTTGAGTTGAATCATAATTATTAAGGTTGAAATAAGATCGACGTTGACAGCATAAAGATTCTAAGAATGAGAAAAAGTACAGAGAAAAAAGATTATTTAGAAAAAGGAATAGGAACTGTATTAACATTTCATTCAGTTAAAAAAGTCCATGAAAAGTTAGAGCGAAAAATCCAAAGACAGAAATGAAGATGCACAATATGGTCGTAAGCTATCTTGCCGAGGTAATTCTCATGAGAGAATATTTGAAGAATAACGAGTTTAAAAGTATTCTCTTAAGCCGAACCACAAGGGTATGAGTGGAAAGAAAAATAATAGGTGTGGAATACCAACAAGTTCAAGATTTTGAAAAGGTATCTCATGTTATTTCACTACTCCTGTCAATATTTATGAATAATGTTATTCATTGTTTCCGAGTACCAAGTGGTCTAGGGACTCTCAACTTCCAGTAGATGGGTCAAGCTGCTCCTCGTACTCAGGTTTGGGCAGCTAGGTTGTGTTATTAACCCTCACAGAATAGGTGTGGTTTATTGCCTACTACACTAATATGTACAAGGTTACTGAGGGGATTTTGGTTTTCCTGACCTCAAGTGAAAAGTTTGTTTCTTTAAGCACGGCAAATATCCATAGTGATTAAATGAGTTAATGTTATGTGCTAGTATTAACACCGTGAGTTTTAGGCTGGTATTCATAACGGACCGCAATCAGACGGAAAAACATCGGGAACCTGGGAGCACCGCAAGGCTATTTCGCCTTAGTATGGGCTCCTCAGTAGTGTGCGCCAATGACCCCGACAGGGGTCGAACGCAGGACCATCGGGTCTCGAGGCCAGGACGTCACCACTGGGTTAGAATCCGGTAGTCTATATTTTCTACTCCTATCAGTTCACGATATAGCGAGACCTCCATCCAATGCCATCGTTGAGTAATTGTCCTCATGTTAGAATGGGTTGGCCCCACCGGTCATATCATATTCTCATTAGTAGTAGCATATGTGAGTAACTTCTTTTAACACCAATTCTCTTACCCATCTCTTTTCTGTACTTTTGTCACTTTTACTTTTATGATGGTCATCTTTTTACAAAGCTTTGTTCATTGCATTGCCAGTAAAGTGAAAAACATACCGATACAATATTTTGTGGGGTCCCATACTGAACTTTTTAAACAAATTTCAAAAACCTATCTGATATTTCCCTTTGAGTTTACTGACATTATTTTGAAACTCCATCACTTTACCATACATGCATGATACAGACTGTAGTGGAGTGCGATTTGAACTACCGAATCACTGCTTAGAAGTTAAGTACTTTAGATGGTGAGCTGCATATCCACAAAATGAAACGATAAAACAATTTGAAGAATAGGAAAAGACAAGACGTGCTTTCAGCGAAGAAAAATTTGGAGAACCACTGGAAACGATAAGCTCTAGCTTAGAAATGTTCTCAACATCAAGCCAAGTACCACAAGTTTATCAGTGAACAGACTACCGGCAGCCGAAAAATTAGTTTACCAAATTATGCATGAATTGCATTAGTGGTTGTATGGAAGTAGATAGAGAAGTTACTGAGGTTGTTAATATCCATATTCATAATAGGCATCCGAAATCCTACAGTGATTAAAATGTCGATCACATTTATTATATCAACTGTCAACATCTGATTAGCAAGATTCAATAACTATTTCAGTTGACCAATACTGAAAAGAAAATTATCGAACTTGAAGACCTTAAATATTGATTGGAAAATTTCTAGAATGAGGTTAGTCAATCTAATCCATTCAGAAGAATGTTACTGTTTTAATCCAAAATATCAGGTGACCACTTAGTAAAAAGTTTTTATCTAGGTATAGATCTGTCGAAAAATCGATTAAATCAAAATCCACTTTCTGGTGCACAAGGAGTAAAAATTAATGTTAAGTAGATCAACGTCTGTACAGACACTATACCGACATTAAAAAAATATCATCTTTTGCGAATTTTCGAAAATTAGACCACTTTCACTCAACAAGTGGTATCTGATTGATGGATTTTATGTAGATGCCCATCTCTAATAACTAAATGCATGAAAAATACGAGGTTGATGAAGGGTAGCGCTGTAAAATGTGGGAGTTCATGGTAGGCAATCAACCTCCGCAACCCCCCCCCCACCCACTTGGTTACTGCTTTTTTTAGAAAGAACAGTCGATTCAATGTCGACCTAGATTTATTAACATTGAAAAGTTGGCATCCATCCATCCAGGTCAACTTAAGACCAGGCATTGCTGCGTAACGGTCCACACCTCATATCAGTACATCAAGTAAAAACGCAATGAGGCGCAAGATGAAGATAAGAGAATGCAGTCAGAAGAAATATAAAGTACGAAAAGGGAGAAATCAAGAATGAGGAAATGGTGAGATTCGGTGTGATGTTAAGATGAGGATAATGTGTGTATACATCTGCGCCACTGACGTCGGTTCTCAGCCATATCATCTAGGGTCTCCAACCACTGGTTCCTCTTGTCCCACCGACCCCAACCACCTAGTCTGCATCGTCCTACATGGCTTAAACCAACAGTCAGAGACTTCATACATTGGTGCCATGTTTTAGTCTGGCCACCTCGGGCCTTTTTCCAGCCTGAACCCACCTCAGCCAACATTGTGTGACGAGGCAATCGGTGACTAGGCATACGTAGTACGTGTCCCAACCATCTCAGTCGATGAAGGTTCACAACCTCGTCAACTGACTTACCTCTTCTCCCTAAAACTCTACACCTAACTTCTGCATTACTCACATGGTGACACCACGGAATACGTCCTATACTACGAAGGCAACGGTGGTCAAACACCTGAAGCCTTTTTATATCTTCCACTTTCAATGGCCATGTTTCACAGCCATACAGTAGAACAGAGCGGACTGCTGTGCAGTACACGCGACCCTTAATAGACAAACGAATATCACGGCGGCGCCATAGGTGGCGCAAATTGGCAAAAGCCAATCGAGCCTTTTGTATCCGTGCAGAAATCTCATCGGCAACTAACCCACCGGGCGGTTGATCCTACTTCCCAGGTAAGTGAAGTGGTCAACACACTCAACCACTTCACTCTCTATTGTTAACCGCGGTACCGCTGAAGACCAGTCCTGGAGCAAAAATTTGCATTTGGGTGGTGAAAATCGCATCCCAAACATTCTCAAATTCCCACTCAAAGTGTTCAGAAGACTCTGCATCTTGTCAGCGTCTTCACCTAACAGGACTATGTCATCTGCATATTCTAGATCTAAAGAAAATTCACCTGTGATCAGGTCAACGTCTTTGTAATTAGGTGACGAGAGGGAAACCTCCATAAGAATATCTATGATAAAATTAAATAAGAATGGGGATAGTGGGCATCCTTGACGGACACCACTTGATGAGTATAGCTCCCTGGACAACTCACCATAGGCTCTAACATGCCCACAAGTGTTCGAGTAGAGAGCTTTCAATAAGGTGATGTACTTACTAGGCACGCCTTTCAGTGACAGACACTGCCATAAGACTTCTCGATCAACGGAGTCAAATGCCGCCTTCAGGTCGAGAAATACAGCTATTGTCGGGCGTCTGTAAGCATGCCTATGTTCCAGGACCTGGCGCAGTGTGAATATTTGGTCGATACATCCACGGCCAGGTCTAAAGCCTGCCTGGTTTTCTCGGGCTTGCTGTTCCCGAGCTCCACTCAGGCGTCGGAGAATTATAGAACTTAGGATCTTAGACACTATGTTTGTCAGGCTGATTCCTCTGTGGTTATCACAAGAGGACTTCTCGCCTTTCTTGAAGACTGGGATGATGAGTGACTTAGACCAGTCGGAGGGGATCGTATTTGATTCCCATATACTGGCTAACACTTCCGTTAGCCTGACTAAGAGAACTCTACCACCATTCTTGTATACCTCAGCAGGTAGTCCGTCTGGTCCTGCTGCCCTTCCCCGTTTCAGGCTACCTACCGCTTTCTCAACTTCTTCTAGTGTTGGGGGCCTGTCTCTATGTCCCATTCAGGGTCCGACTGGATAGCGGGCAGCGCAATCGTGGCTGGAGGCCAGTTAAACTGTTCCTCAAAGTGTTCTGCCCATCGTCCAGTCGTCTCCCCTGCGAGTGAATCGCAGATCCGTCCTTCTCCGCTATGACCTCACTAACTGTTGTTGACCATTTCCCCCCAGTCTCCTTAATAAGTCTAAATAACTGTCTACTGTTACCGATCGCCGCTGCCTTTTCCATCTCTTTAGCCTTCGCTGCCCACCACTGTTCACGATCGTTGCGCAGACTTTTCGTCAGTTTATTTTTAAGTTGCGCTCGCTCTTCATTGTACTCAGAGCCTGCAGGGATGCATTCACGTGCATCCATTAGTTTGGAAGAAGCTGCTGATATCCACTGGCTCTTTTTAGCCATCTTTCGGAGTCGGCTACAGTCTTCAGTGCTGCTTTTACAGCAGACTGAAGATGGCACCAAGCTTCTTCTGGATGAGTGACAGTCTTTTGTTCCGATAACTGCCTAGCCAACTTCTCACTGAACACGGCTTTGGTGTTTTCGTTGTCCAGCAGAACTCGTAGTGGTTTTGTTGCCAAATTTTTTCTACGTCCATTGAGACGCAGGCATATACGTGCTCGGACCAACGCATGATCGCTATCCAAACACGTACTCCAGAAGGAGCGGCAGTCTTCCACCGATCCTCTCCAGCGATGACTAATAGCAATGTGGTCTATCTGTGTCCATCGCTGAGTTGAGCTCGGTGGACGCCAGGTCAGACAGTGCCTTTCTTTATGTCTGAAATTGGTGCTGGCTAAAAATAGGCGGTTATCTGAGCATAGTTGTAATAGGCGATCACCGTTATCTGTACGTTCAGCTGGGATTCCGAAAGTGCCACCTAAGTGCCTTTCTGCCTCACTCAGTCTACCCACCTGTGCGTTGAGGTCACCTGCAACAACCACTACGTCCGAACGTTTGGCTTTCGAGAGGAGGTTAGACAGTTTATGGTAGAACTCGTCCTTCACTTCATCCGAGCTGCAGTCAGTGGGTGCGTAAGCAGAGATTACAAAGAGACAACGGCGAGTCTCACTATTCCTTTTAGTTCTCACTGTGCCGTTCAGCCTCATAGCGCAGAGGCGACTATCAACTGGGATCCAGTCTAGTAGTGAGTTTTCTGCCCTAGTGCTTAATGCTATGCCTAAACCTGCAAGACCGCGAGAGCTAGCTATCGAATCTCCAGAAACTCGAAGTGTGAATTTTACGGATTCACCAGATTGGCCGGGAGATGTTAGGTGAATAACCGCACTTAAGTCCTGTATGCATGTCTCATCTCACAAATACAGCACACATCCATGATCCGAGTTGCTAGAGTCTTTGTCAATGAAGCCTGTTGACCAAATTGTCGGAGGGTGCAGACACTGAAGGCTGCAATTTGTAATTTGGAGCATAGTTCAAGGAGCCCATGGATGATATTTTGTGGATTCAGCTCTTTGTCAAAGGCTGCAGAACTAAGAGAAATTGAGGATGATGTAGTATTGTTAATTGGGAGACGTGAAGGAAGATAAGAAGGTAATGATGGGGGAGGTGGATAGCAGTCTGAAGAAACTTGAGTGCTGACAGAGTTGTGAGGGCGGTTGACACTTCCTGGCTGCCCACACCGTGGAAGGTTATTTCTTCTTAAAGTACCTGAAAGAGATTTGTGTGACTGCAGAGCCCATCGGACATCTGCTTGAGGCCTGTCACACGAACCCCTTTGAGTATGATTATTTTGAACTTTTGTATTTTTGGGGCCGGATGGTGGAAAGGAAACGACAAGTGAAGCAACACCGCCGGCCCGGCAGACCGTGGGGCATGGTGGAGTGTGTTATTTTTGGGGCCGACCTTTTCTAACCCCCCACTTCCACTGAGAAGGCAGCATCAACATGGCACTGCTGGTCATCCAAGGGAAACACCTTACTGCTGTCACACCCCATCCAGCTAGCAGCAGTACGACTTCGCCCTCAGACTCCCATCACAGTGTAGTAATTTATACCACAACGGTAACTGCTTTTCGTATTACTATCCAGTAGGACCTCGAGGGAACAAGTGTTCCACCAGTGTAGCTAGTTGGGTCATTGTGATATGCAAGCCCGACCACCACGTCAAGGTAGCAGCTATCAGTCGGGCTAAAGTTGGTATACGTTTTATCAGTTGCACAAACTAGGAAACCTTCTCCAATCTGTACCAAACCAACTCAGATCAGATGATCATGATAGTTCTTCAAGCACCACTTACGGTTTCACTGAAGATGGTGACTGGTATGTGATGGTAAGCTTTGAAGTCAAAGATCAACGACCAGAGTAATTTTTTTTATCTAAACATTCATTCCATTAACTAAAACTATTTACAGCTATGATGTCCACTAGCACTACTATGTGGGAGTAAGTGACTACATTTAGCTGTCTAGACAGAAATAAAAACACTTGAAGGCATAGGTTGGATAGCCATATGCAATAGATATGGAGGATATGTAGTAGGAGCCAGTTGGACTAGAAATCTTGCAAATAGAAGGCCAATGCGAGATGCCTAAGCACTGATTTATTAGTAACATTAAACCGGGTGTTACTTCGCAACGGTTCAGGCTGTCATACCTGAAATAGACAAAAGAAACAAGGCAACAAGACGAAACACATTGAGATGGAAATCATGTAATCAAAAGTAGTGGGAAGAAATAAGCAGCGGATGTGAAGTACATAAAGGGATGTAATATTACGATTCCGATGAAAAAACTCCGCGAATGCATTCGCATTAGTGAGAACAATTTTAAGATATAATCACCAAGATGCTCCAACTATCACTTTACTTTACCGTGTGGAAGCGAACCCCCACCCATTATAAAGCTAAGGGAAACAGTCATAGACTTCGATGACTAATGCCATAAAATAGTTAATTTTTTTTTGAACCAAATCATACTCCATCCAAGATGGCACGTTCACGTAAATGGTGACTAGACTTGCGTAACATCATTCCATTTTACTTCTGTAAGCAAAGATTTGCAAACTGATCAACTGACTCATCTCTTTGAAATAAGACTCTACACTTAAACACTATATATTACATTTGATAACTTCACAACGGGCAGTCAACGCTACCACAGAAACAGTGGTCGGATACCTGAGGTTGTTTGATGTTCGACAACTTTATAAATTATGCTTTAAAGCTATTTTCTAGGACAGAGTAAACTGCTTAGATCGATAGCTGATGTGGTGATTGGAGTTGCCTGCCTAAAAAACTCAAGATATAATAGCTGAGACGATTGTTCTCACCATGCCCAAAATGCACTCTGCATAATGAGTGGTAAGATTGCAAGCAGTTACTGTTGTAATGTAAATAACTTACGTCATGGTGGTGGCATGAAGACGCAATTCTACGCGTTCAGAAGTACCTGCATTTTGTCAGTGACTTCACCTAGCGGGATAATATCTTCCGACTACTTCAAGTCAACCACATACCCAACAGGGAGTAAGTCAACCCCTGTGAAATCACACGTAACTAAGGCTATCTATGTCCATCAACAAATCTATAAGGAAGTTCAACATGAACGGTGACACTACTAGTTGTCGTCAATGCTGACGAAAACTCTACAAAAGCCTTTATATGAGTGCGTGAGTTCCAGTACACAGCGATTTATACTTCCTCGGTACTCCTTTCACAACACCTTACGGTCGACAGAGTAAAATGCCGCCTTCAGGCAAAGAAATAAGGGAAGTGTTGGTCGTCAATAAGTATGCGTGTGTTCGAAAACCAGTCAATCAGAGCGTGAAGATCTGAAAGATATGCCATCATCCAAGTATGAAACCTGAGTGGCTTCATCAGGCTAATTTTTGAGACCCGGCTGAGTTTCGGACAATTATGGATCCCTGGATCTTGGACACGATATTTGTCAAACTGATTCCTCCATGGCAATCACTAGAAGACTTCGCTCCTTTCTTATAAACTGGAACGATCAGTGAACTAAGTCAGTTTGACAGGACTATCCTCTGATGATTCCTATCCAATACCCAGTGAATCCGTTACTCTACCGAGTAATTTACTACCTATACCTCCTTAAAAACTTCTGGTTGCAAGTAACAAGGGTTCGACCGCCGTTACCTCTGTAGTAGTATAGGTCATGTGTTATGGTTCCTCTACGTCAGTAACGTAGAAGTCGGGCGTCGAGTTTCGGGCAGAAGAGAAAAGTCAGTTGGTGGTTGAAACGTGTTACGAATGCCTAGTTGCTATCTGCTCCGTCGCACAATGTTAACTGATTTAGGTTTAGGCTGGAGAAGGGTTAAGGGTGACCAGACTAAAACATAGCGTCAATCACTGACGTTTTTGACCAGTGGTTTGAGAGAAGTAGGGAAACGTAGACATCCTGGTTGGGGTCTGTGTGACATCTGAAACTCAAGGTGATATGGCTCAGAATCGATCATTGAGGTGCAGATGTATCCGCACATTATCTTTGTCTTAATAATGAATTTGACTGTCACATAGATCATTTTTCGTTTGATTTCATGACTTTCCAGTAGTTTCTACAATCGTTTCCTTATTCTACCTCTCTTAAACGTTTTAATCTATAATTCACAAAATACTGTTCAACTTACAAGCAATTTGCTGTGTGTCAACTATAAAAAAGATGGAAAAAGTAGAAGGATTGTTAATGCGTAACTTGGGGCAAAGGGATGAAGGAGGGTTGTGTTGAGTCAGGATTTGTTAAAATCTCACAACACCCTAGATGAAGCCCGAGACTTCATGCCACTCAGTGGCTCGAGACGTGATCACGTTTGATGCGGAGTCGAAACCAGTTGTGGTTATACTGCTGCCTTTTTATTTTTTTGAAAGTGTGAAGGGAGAATGGAATGCTTCTTCTAGTTTACCCCTGGGACTACCTCTTTGATATGTCGCTTACTTTTCTGCTTGTTTTCCCTTTCTTTCCTCTACATTACACTAATGTCTTCGCAGTGTCGATATATTATTTTGTGTGGCACCTTCCTCGGTGTCCGCTGTGTAGCAAGTTTGTATTTTGAATAAGTGGCTGATATGCTAGTTAAATACATTTCAACTGAGAAAACGGTGTCAGTAAGCTGTTTTGTGATCTGAATAGAAATACTTAGAAACTGAATGCAATTGATATAGATAGCTGTTTTGCAACTGTTAAGTCGGAGTTATTTATTCAAAAATAAGTACCAAGATATTCGGAAATGGCAACCGTGTCTAGGTAAGTGTTCTAGGGATGATACACACAGCAACTGAAAAAAAGAGTGATTACATCTGTATCACTTTTTATCAACAGAAGTTAACTCGGTAAAACGGATATAAAACATGGAACTCACTGATTTCATCAATGATAATCCCGTCCTCTACAGAAATATGAACAAAAAGGTTTGTCCAACGGTCGTACACAGATAGCTTCCTAGGAAACAAAAAAAAGGATATTAGAGGAAAAACTAATCATCAGTAGAATAGGTGATGGATTTCGATGTATATGCAAAATGTGCAGCATGAAGGAATCAGGATATAGCCAGCTGCGTGATGTCTGTCGGTCTCGGTTGTCATACGGACCTCAACCAGGATGTCTACGTTTCCCTACTTCTCTCAAACCACTGGTCAAAAACGTCAGTGATTGACGCTATGTTTTAGTCTGGTCACCCTTAACCCTTCTCCAGCCTAAACCTAAATCAGTTAACATTGTGCGACGGAGCAGATAGCAACTAGGCATTCGTAACACGTTTCAACCACCAACTGACTTTTCTCTTCTGCCCGAAACTCGACGCCCGACTTCTACGTTACTGACGTAGAGGAACCATAACACATGACCTATACTACTACAGAGGTAACGGTGGTCGAACGATTGATGACTTCTAATATCCTCTTAATTTAATGGTGATGTATCACAGACACATATTAGAACACAGAGAACTGGAGAGCAATACATACGAACCATAATAGTCAATCGGATATCACGCCGGTGCCACAAATGTTGTAAGTTGAAGAAAGTCAAGCAAGTCTTTTGGACCAATGGAGGGATTTCGTCCGTGGACGACACACCAGAGCTGATTCAACTTCCCAAGTAAGTGAAGTAGTCAACACAATCAACCACTTCACTCTCTATTGCCAGACGAGGCATCAACGCACACCAGTCCTCAGGCACCAATTTGTATTTGTGTGATCACAAACGTATTCCAACCGTTCTCAAATTGCCGCAATCAGTGTCTCCAGAAGACTCTGCATCATGTCACAGACTTCACCTAACAGGACCATGTCATCCACGTACTCTACATTTACCAAGAATTCTCCAGTGATCAGATTGATCCCTGTGAAGTCAGAGGACGATAGGGAGACCTACATACGTATGTCTACGATGAAGTTGGATAAGAATGAAGAGAGTGGACATCTTTGAAGAACACCATTCAACGTACACAATTCACCTGATAACTCACCATAGGCTCTAACACGTCCACGAGTGGTCGAATACAGATCCTTCAACAGAATGATGCGCTTACTCAGAATCCTTTTCAACAGCAAACACTGGCATAAGGACTATCGATCGACGGAGTCAAATGGTCACCTTTACGTCGGAAAATACGACTGGCGTTGAGCACTGGTAAATGTGCTTGTTCTAGAACCTGATAGAGAGTGAATATATGGTCGATATACACACGATCAGGCCTGAAATCTGCCAGTTACTATCAGATTTGCTGTTTCCGAGCTCCACTCAAATGTCTGATAATCATAGAAACCAGGATCTTAGACATTATGTTCGTCAGGCTGATTCTCCGGTGGCTATCACAGGATGATTTCTTTCATTTCTCAAAGACAATCGGTAATTTAGATCAGTGAGAGATTATGTGGGATTCCTATGGGCCAGCTGACACTTCAGCTAACTTGATTAACAATCAATGACCACCATCACTAAATACGCCTAATACTAGCCTATCTAGTCCTGTCGCCGTTTCCCACTTTAAGTGACGTGCAGCTTTTTCAACTTTTGCAAGTATTAGAGGCCCAATCTCAATGTTACATGCAGTGTTCGACTGGATAGTGGGTAACGGGAACGCAGGTGAAGGCCAGTTAAACTGTTCCACTCATCGTTTCAACCCTCTTTCCCGTGAATGAATCTCAGACCAATCTTTTTCTCCTATATTCTCAACAAACCATTGATCCTTTCGCCCCAGTTTCATTGATAAATCTAGACAGTTATCTACCGTTACACATCGCCCCTGTCTTTTCCATCTCTGTAGCCTTCACTACCCACCACTGTTCACAGTGGTCAGCCTACATTTTAGTTATTTCTGTCCATCATTGTGAAGGAAGTCTGCAAGAATGCGGTTACATGCATTCATATATTCAGAAGCTGCTGAGAGCCAATGACTTTTGCAACAACACTGAGAGTAGTTTGTTATCTTTAACGCTATTTTTACAGTAGACCGGATATGTCACTAGGCTTCTTCTTGATAAGTGTCATTGCCTGTTCTGATTACTGTTTAGCCAGTTTCTCTAGGAGAGCACCTTTAATATTCTCATCACTAGGCAGCACTCACGGTGGTTTTGCTACTTTGGTATTCCTACGTTCGATAAAGCACAGACATATGCGTTTTCTATTCAACACGTGATCACCATCAAAACACACTCTAAAAGCAGTGTCAATCTTCCACCGGCCCTCTCCAGTAATAACTGATAGAAATATAATGTTTGGTTCCACCGTTTAGTTGAGATCGGTGGACATGAGGTTAGGCAATATCTTTCTTCAAGTCATTTGTTCACCCCTGTTCAAAGTCATGAAGCAAATAAAGCTGCACGGATAACCTTTGTATGTCATTCAGTCACACAATAACAGAGATTTTCATGCGCACACCATTGCTGCCACCACCTTTGAACACATGAGCGAAATACGAATTTCGGCTGTATAAACACTTAAACAAAGCTCATGAGTAAAAAATCACATTGGTCGGATATGAAAAAGTCATTTTCTTTCCAAAAGTTAAGAAGTCGGAGATGGGATGACAGGATCTTCATTCTCTATAAACCAAACTTAAGCCATCCAAGTGTTATTGTAGCGCATTCGAAATCTTACTCATTCACCTTAGAGTTTCGATTTCTAAACTGCCTCACCTCTTCATTGTCCAGCTCTACTGTTTGTCAGTTATCTTTTATTATTAAATGTACTTGCTGACTCATCGGCTCACCTTTCTTTTCCTTTTTTCTTTTCCAGATTCTCGTGGCCACCACCAAACTCACACTGTTCTGCGCGCTCCCTGCAACAACGTACCTATCTACAGGCTAGACGAAAACTTATCAACAACTGGTCGTTACATTATGACATGACCGAGGAAAGGCTGATCTAGGTTATCGTCTTGAGATGCCGTTATGTACCCAGTGTTTATAGTCTCTGTTAGGAAAGTCCTTTATATGGCTCGCGGTATTTCCACAAGAGTAAGAGCGCAATAACGAAAGTTCGGTGCTGTAACCAGTTTGGTTTATACATAAGGTACGCCTAAGGGAGTAGGAAAACCTTGGTTTCAAACCAATAATGCACATGGGTGACAAGATCCAGACCACGGAAATGATGTATGTGTTTATCTTGGTCACTCGAAACTATGGGAATGCGGCACCTCACGTTGCTTCACTGCTTTGTGAATCAAATGTCAAGCCAAAGGCTCCAGGAGCGATCTCTGATAGACAGCCCTGATAGACAGAAACCCGGAGACAGTTAGGGATGAGTTTGACCATTAACTGAGTGACCATCTCCATAAACCATTCTTGACAAATATCATAGTGCTAGCTGGGGACTTGAATGCAGAGGTTGCACGTCTACGTCTAGAGCAGGATCGTCGGTTGCAGGCCAGATAATGAGGAACGTCTTCTGCAACTCTGCGCAGGTCACTACCTGTTTCTAGACAGAATCAACTTCGGTACAGATATCACAATTATGCTAACTAGGATCCTCCTTCTACCACTCATTGATGGCATATAGGTGTATTCATAATCGCCACTCCCTCTAAAGCACTTATCTAGACTCTGATCACGCTTTATTGTGTGCTAAGTTCATTTTTGATTTCGGTGACCATCAAAACCATCGTTCGCAAAGTATCGACGTATGAAAAATGGTTACACCTAGTGTTGTGATTAAATACCAAACCGAGCTAGATACAAGTCTAGCTGTCAGACCCCCAGAAACCAAAGATGAGGATTGAATGCACTTACAACACCCCATGAAAACGGTGAGAAAAGCTGCTTGTAGTTCCGAAGAACTTCCAAATGATAAACACTGGATCTCTCACAGTTCTTTGTAATTTCTTGACGGTTGTTGTTGTATTCCTCCAGGCAGCGAGTACAATGGTATTAGTTTCTTACGCGACAGATCAAACTAGACTTGCGCAAAAGCTAGTGGTCAGAACGCGTAAGTCACATGACAGCATCAACTGCACCTGTCGATTGTCGGAAGCTGTTCCAGCTCATTTGAATCACCAGCAGAAAGAAGCCTGGTGTCAATGAAACCGTCTGGGAAGTAGATTGTATGCTGATCACCAAACTTTCATAGACATCTGAAACACTGAATGGAGTACTTCAAAAAGCAGTTCCGTTGACCTGCTGCTTCAGCAACACCGATTTTAATGTATTGTGCTCCATAGTTAGTTCACACGGACCCTTTTAGCGAAGCGGGGCTCCGTAAGGACCTTCAATTCCTACAGCGTCATAAGACACACAACCGGGAAAACCTACTCCCAACTCTTTTTAAAGATGAAGATGACACTGTAGTCAGGGAACTGATTGCATTATTTGGGAAGGTATGGCAGATTGAAGTGCACTCTCAGCAACCTTGTGCACATTTGTGCAATAGGCAGCGAGCCACATGTATCTTGTGAGGGCTAGTGATATTACCTGGCTGCCCAAACTTCGGTAGATGGAGCAGTGTTGGAACTAGTGACCCATTGGTTGAAGGTCAACTGTCTAAACCAACCAGCCATAGTTCTAATGGTAGACTGAGTGTCCCACTACTCTGGAACGAAGCTGTTTTTGTACTCAGCTTTAGAAACGGTCAACATTATGTCTTAAGGGGCTAAAAGACCCAGGTCCTTCTCTGTCTGCGACGCTTCAAGTTCCATGTAGTTGGGCTTTTATTTTGATATGCATCAAGGGTTAAATGCACAACCTTTGCATTTTCACAATTATACGTCTGGTCATTACTGACTGCCCACTTTTCAAGCTAGTTTGAGTCTTCCTATACAGAAACATAGTTTTACATCTGATTTCTCGCCATAGTTTCAAATCATTAGCGGAAAAAGGAATTTCAGAAGGAAGCTGTCTGGACAAGTCGTTTACGCATACTAGAAAAAGAAGAGACCCTAGTACTGAACCCAGTGGAATCCCATTAGGACATTCTCTTTCTTCAGACATAGAAAACCCCACTCG